ACGATATGTGAGCATATACCTGCAACGTGAACACAACAGAATCTGTAATTTTGTATTTCACATAATCAAGTAAATAAATTTGAGGAGAAACTAAAAAAAAAAAATTCGCCTTGTTATAAAAGATACTTACCTGGGGATCACAMTTTCAACATCTGCGTTGCAAGTTTTGCACTTCCAAAGCTGTTTGGGAAAAACTTTCCCTGGAAAAGTGTTCTTCACTTCATCCGTATCAATAGGTAGCACTTTTTTACCAYAGGCTTTGCAAGCCATGTAGTACCACCCAAATTCCGTGTCAATGGACATTATTGTGCACATTGTAACACATGTTTCAGCCTGTTAGAATTTCAATTATTATAGTGGTTGGTTGTCATTATATTATAAGAGTAAGAGATTCTCATTAATAATATTTTGTAAGCCTTTTATTACTTGTGATGATTGAAGAATGTCACTGATAGTCCTGCGAGGACTACGAAGGAGAAAATCATCTCTCACCAACACATAATTGAAGACAGTCAACTGATTAGGGTGAGTGTAAGACAGAATAATGTCATCATTTGGTAACTTGGAGAGTTAGTGTCACGACCGTGTCTTGATGATTTTTAAATTTTGGCGCGGAAATGTTTTGGACCGAAAATACAAAATGGATCATACGAAAATCCATTAAAGGACTTAATAGATTGGGCCAAACAATGTTGTTTTCCCCAAAGCCCATCAAGCCCAACAGAAAACCTAGTCATGTCTATGTAAGGGAGAGGATGTAAGGTGAGGGTGTTGTCACCTAGAGAAACCCTAGCCGCCGCTGCTTGATAGACAATTTCCCGATGAACCGTCTGGAACTACGTGATGATCTATATGTCCATGGAAAGATACTTGTCTCAGCTTTCCAGAAAGTCTAATATCGTCCCAATCCAAGTTCTGTAGTGAAAGTTATGGCGTGCTCTTTTCGACTGTCGCAATATGTCTTATTCTCGAAACAACCGCAGATTCGACCAGTTTCGGTGGAAAATGGAAACAGATGAACAAAACTGTTTGGATCGATCTAAAATTTGGTACGGGCCTTTCATACTCTCTTTTTACCCGAATCAGGAAGCGATTTGTCATTTGAAGTTGTGATGTGAGTTATGGTTGTTTTCTCGTAATTGTCATCTACTGTGAGGATTTCTGACCAGTCATAGGAGAATTTGTTCTGCGGTTTATTCAGAGGTCGGATGAAGCTAATTTTTAGTAAGGAGTTTCGTCGTATATATAGCTATGGGTGAAAGCCGTTTGTCAATCGGAATTATAGTTTAAGAGCTACTCGTGTCTCTCTGGGACTGTTATGTGCAGAGTGGAGGTGCGGACAGTCATCTTCGCAAGCGTTTTCCGACCAGTTGAGATGGATTTGGATGACGATCTTTATATCCCTAGAAAGAACTTTTTGTCTAGTTTCTGTAACTGTTTTCATAATTAAAAGCCGAGGTAAGGACAATCCGTATTAAAATTGGTAACAACTCTCTGTCCCAGAATTGTATATTTTCTCCAGTTTCGTGGCAGCCACTTTGAAGGTCCGTTTGGAGGTTCATATCAAGTCCGATCGTACTATAATTTTGTGGAATTGTTCATGGAATCGTACTTCAGAATCAATGGTCAGATTCTTAAGTGGACGGTTAGTTTTCTAATTATTCACGTTTTCCGAAACATGCTTTGTGCAGTTTTATTTGATGATCAAGTTTATTGAGTCGCATTTGTTGGTTGGACCAACGAGCTCAGAATGAGCTGGAAATTGGCAGGAATCTTATGGACCTATAATATGATATTGTGTACAAAGATAATTGGAGTTGGAGATTTGAAAGTCAGTCAAGAAAGGAAGCTTTGTAGCTAAGGTGAGGGTGGGATCCATGCTACTTTAGTACTAGTTAGCATTAGGTGTTCTTAYATRCTAGTCTAGGAATRKAA